GATTGTTACGCTTTTTAAGGATAGCAAAACGTTCATGAAATGTTTATTAATATGATAATAAAAAAAGTTTTAAGATTTTTTTTCCGACAGAAGTACCATCTATTTCAATTCGGAAGAAATTATCTATCAAAAACGCAAAAATTTTTGCTGTAGAGTATCTATTCATTGTTGTAGTAACTATTGATCTAAAGTCCTAAAAAGTAATACCTGAGGTACAATAATTTTAATGTTTCAAAATCTTCGGTTCTACATGAAATAAAGATTTCCTTGTGTTTGAAAATAGCTCATATTTCAATTAACTATGAGTCGTTATTAGAAACTAAAATTTTCATCTCATTCTCACTTTCTGTCATTCTCTCTCTCTCTCTCTCTCTCTCTCTCTCTCTCTCTCTCTCTCTCCCTATTCGCATGAAATCTTACAATTCCTTTTGAATAATCATTAGATCACCGTATGTCATGCCATCATTCTCATTTATCAAAATGAATTGACATTACAAACTACTAAATATCATTTGCCTTCTTTTTCCAGATGTTAAATATTTACATACAACCAAATAGTATGTCTAGTCAGCTTTGCGTGGCTTACGTTTGCGAACATTCGGACTATTTGGCTCAGTTTTCGAATCCTTTCCTGCATCTTTCTCTTTCTCTTCAGCATCTGAACCTTCTCCTTCAGACTCTTCATCTACCAAATCATCTTTCACATTTTCAACTATTTCTTCATCTTGCATGGTTTTTTCTTGCATGAATCCACCAGAACCATCTTTTTGCTTCTTTCTGCTTTGGAGTGTTGTTGGCTTCGGTGGGTATATCAAATCAATCAAGCACACAATGACCTAAATACCATAAAATTTAGATTTTATTGTAGCTCTCAGTTGCGAGATTGTAAGAACTTACCAAACCCAATATAGCGCCTAAGACAATAGTTACAACAGCAAAGATTAGATAGCTTCCCCACGTAGGTAGTCCAAAATCTTCCATCAACTTATTATGTACTCCCTACACAAGAATAAATCTATTGCTTTACAAATCATTAATTACGTTGCAAAAAACAGTGAAGTATTAAAATATGTATTAATGACTATCTAGAAATTACATTACACAATTATTTACCCTTAATACTTGTGACATTTTAAAAAATTGACTAATAATAGACATTTGAATAGAAGTTGGACTCTTCCAACCAAGAATTGGTTCAATTTTTTCCCAAGTTCTTTCAGATACAAATTCAATTAATGAATCCTTGTCCCTGGGACTCTTGTATTGTCTGAATATTCCATCCTTAACGCTAGAAAAATGGTTCAATTACTTATTATTTTATTTCAGTGTTTTGAGATACCAAATTAGAATGTATAACAAAAAAATAAATAGTGCTTACTGATATATTGTTGGTAAAGCAGTCACCATAAATCTTCCGCTAAGACCTGGTGAATCAGTGATGTCCACTTTCCCAACATTGATATTCAATCTTTTCTTTTGCGATGCAAGATGTTCCCAAACAGGTTCAAGTGCTTCGCAAGCAGGACACCATGGTGCATAGCTAAATTAAAAAAATATTCAAGTTACAGCTTGTAAATGAAATCATTTATATTAATATCTAAAAGTATCAACAATTTATTTTAAATGAGTTACAGCTACTCTTTTTTTGTGTATAATCTTAATTTAAATGAAAATATATTATTTCCATTTTGTAAAATTTAATTTTGTTTAACGAAACGTTTGATATCAAAAAGATTATTAAAACCCGTTTATTCTTCTCTTTTCCCTGAGTACAATTTTTGACACGCCATCAAATTTGACGACATAGATTCAATCCAACTTACAATTCCACCATCCATTCTCCGGTCAGCATACGATCCCAATTCTCTTCGGTAAGTTGTTCCGCAAACGTGTTTTTCCATGATTCCACAGAATTCGCGTATACGAAGTTTAAAAACAGGGAACAACATGCGACTTGGAGAACAAACCTTAATTTAGTGTGCAACATTTTGTTACTAACTAATATTCACCGGTATCTCTGCACGCTACCGGTTGCTGAAAGAAGCACAAACCCAGGCAACAATAGTTGCCAATCAAGGTGTGTAATGTCTCTTCCACAACTGTTCGCAACGTCGAGGAACGCCTTAAAACATTAATACCCTAGTATATAGCTCTAGTGAAATATGTACATCACTAACTTGCTCAGGCTCTTATTTTTTATACTTTTCATTAATTAAAGATTTTTATTTACTATTCATAGAAATAACACTATATCATAAAATGGAATATCGATGTTTGTTAATGAAAAAAAATCTTTTCTAAGGTTTTTTAATATCACTGCTCGTTATGAACGAGCCATAAATATTTGGTTTTTTTATGTCTGGCTATGCTATGTCATAGATATGTGTACATATAATGTATGCGATGTATGTATAGATTTCTCTGTGAACAAATCGTTCTTTGTTGTTCGTAACTACAGTTCAATGAACATTTACTGAAAGTATGTAAATAAACAATAAACATTATTAACATTTTGATTGTATTTGTATAGTTCGTCATATACTGTTGAATGTTTGTTAGAATGTAATGATTTGACATGTTTGAAGCGAAGGAGCAGTTTACCTCATAATATATGCTTTATATTATTCTACTGCATTGTTCTCTATTAAAATCTTGAACTGATATGTATATTTTGTATATCAAAAATGTAACGATAAATGTATTCTTTTCATTATAATAAAATATATCATTATTACAGGTCTGATTTAACTGTTGGTTATAAGAATATTATAAGTTGAAAAATATGTCTACTGTCTATCCAACTTTGCCTAAGTTGACTGTACGAGACGGATTTGATGAAGAAGATCTGACAGATATAGATGATGAAGTATTTATTAGAGATGGGAAAAATGGTAGCCTAAAATTAGATGAAGATGGTGGAGTTAAAAGGCCCCTAATGCCATCTCGTAGAAGATGTAAAAAATCATATAGTTTTGAGACATTTTCTACGAGAACTTGTTATATACCTCTATGTTTTGGGCTCATAGCTTTGATATTACTGTTAAGCTTAATCCCATTATGTATATACATTATAAATATAATTCCTGTGCCAATGCCAATTTTAAAAAATTGGTTGTCTCATAATTATGAAGAGATATTAGATGAATCTAATATAGTTCCATGTACATCACTTACCACAAAAATTTTGTGGACTAAATCGTTGCCGAAACTGGTTCCTGAATCACCGTTAAGAAGTATTGATGTTAATAAAGATGGAGTGGATGATATCATTGTTGGGTTTAGTACAGGTATATAATCTTGTGGAAATAATCACATTTATTTTATATGTTGACTACTGCTAATATTTCATTTCCACTTCTGTTTTTTATTATTCTGCATTCTTTTCTATATTTACTTTCTGACTTACAGATATTAATTTTGTACCATTATATTTTGTTTGAACTTCACTTAATAAGGTAAATCTTTTTTTAATGAATGTTTAATGATGCTAGAAGCATTTAATTGTAATATTATTCTTCTTTTAACAAACAGGTTTGGATATGATTGATATACCAGAATACATTTGTATGGTCCACTTTAATGGACAAGTTCCATGTTTTGGTGGAGTTCTAGCTTTAGATGGTAAAACAGGGGATATTCTTTGGACTCATTGGATGGCTCATGCTATTTATTCAGTCGACTGTGGTCTGGATTTAACAAATGACACAATCAAAGATTGTATTATATGTGGACACGGCGGAATACTCCATGCGATACGTGGTCATGATGGTTCTACTATATGGGAAGCACCAGTTGAAGAACTATCAACTTCTGACGATTGGAGACTTGCAGATATTTATAATGCTAAATTTATTGCGGATATCGATGGGGATGAAGTTGGAGATGTTATTGCATCGCACACTATACAGTCAAAAAAATTAAGCGAAATTCTTATAATATCAGGAATAAATGGAAATATTATACATGCTTCAGTTTTGCCAAACACAGAGCAATTAGTGTTAGCACCTCAAAAGTTGGTTCATCCAGATGGAGAAAGTATTTTTGTTTTTACAACTACTAACAACAAACAATCAGGAGGACTGTATGTAGTTCCCCAAGTAAATTTAATGTATGGTGACTTAGTAAGTAATTTATTTAACATATATTGATTGAATGCATATATAATAATCAATGAATAGTAGAAACTGTCTATATCCTTTGTAGAAATTGAGGAAACTACATCATCATGCAGGTGAAAGTACTCCATTACCTCCAATTTTGGTAGACATTACTATGGACGGAGTTGAAGACATTGTCACCGCTATGTCCAATTCTACAATAATTGTTTATAACGGGTTAACATTTGAACCCATTTGGAACTATACAATACCTAATTCTAAAGTAATAAGCATTCCTATTCCTGGTTATTACAATGACGATAACATTCCAGATTTTATGGTGAAGTATCAAATAGGTTCAAATTTTCTTACCTATAATTACACTATTACGACGATTGTAGATGGAAAAACTGGCAAACCTTTGCTTGAAAAACCGATAGAAGGTCTTTTAAGCAAACAAATGTCTGGTTTGTCTGTTACTGTTGAAGATTTTGGGAATGATTGGTTTTTACATTGGTCTGTTGAATGTTTCAATTACGAGGCAGATAAAAAAAAGTATCAATTTTTGAAAAACTCGAACATTGCATTTGAATCTTATGCTGATATTTGTAAACTGAGATTTAATTCTACTTTGACTACAAACTTGTATGCTTTGAGTCAACACGTAGGTCCACCTGGTATATCATTGTATTTTTCTGAGTATCTAAATCCTAAAACAGAGTCATATATGAACACGGCATTTGTATCCGAAAGATCACCCAAAAAATATGAAAGCCGTAATGAAAAAATCAAACCTGATATAAATACCGAACTGGATGATACCAGTAATTTGAACAATGATTATATTTGGAAAAATGAGAATCGGTGGACACAAAAAAATGTACAAACCAAAGATTATGATGGCTCGTATGATGGAGAAAATATTAATCTGGGAGAAGAAGAATCCATTGATTATCCTCAAGGAGACCAAGTACGAGAACAAAGAAGTAGTATCGACAGCAAATCTATGAATAATTTTGATAGGAGTACAAATAATTCAGTAAGAAATACAGTTAGTAACGACACAGGTGCTATTAATGAAACAAACAAATCTGAACAACTTAACGATTATGTTACAAATCGTGATATGAAAACTGTACATTTAAGAAAACGAGCTGTAAATTTAGAGACAGGAAATATGAATAACACAAATGCATCAATGGAATGGAGTTCTGCGGTAGAATGTTTTCATTCGATTACTTTGTTTTCTTTTAAGGTATTTTAAATTAACTAACAGTACTAATACATTTCAGGAAGAAGATGCTTCTATAGAAAAAGTTTTTAAACGAGAATCAATGAGGAACCAAAATAAGGGAAAAATTTCTGACGGAATTTTGAACTTTACAAATAAGTTAGGTGGATCAAAACTACGCCTGCAAAGAATAAAGAGAGAAGCTGATATTAGAAGCAACCGAATGTATCGGATATATGGTATACAAAAGCAACCACCAACTGGAATACTATTACCTTCTCTTTCAATGTCAAAAGATACAATCCCTGTAGATCTGGTATTTTCTACGTTTTCGTTTCCATCTTCCGATGCATCTAAAATGTTGGTTCAAGAAGATCTAGATTGTATTAATAGAAAAAAAACACTTTCAACTCAAAAACTGCATTATAAACACGAGGATGATTTTGTTAAAGAATGTTTAGCTGAACGTGGTATTAATTATAAAATGTACCAGGAAGCAAATGATCGAGAAAATTATAAAATTTCTTTTGGAAAAATGATAATATATAGAATGAAACTTGAATGTACATGTCCAGAGGATATGTTGCCTAATGAAAGCTGCAAAAACATTTCTTCGCATCAAAGTTGGTCAGAGTACTTAGGTTTGCATGGGAATGGATATTTTAAAACAGTTCACAAAACGAAGCTTTAAAGAACTGTTTATAACTGTCAGATGAATTAACTGTTTAAACTGCAGTATTATTATTACTCTTACACTGTA